GGGGGGGGGGGGAGTACCATACTCGTCCCCGTCCCCACTTTGAGACAAACAGGGATCCCCCTCCCCGTCCCCAATCCCAATTTAGCGGGGAATCCCCATCCCTGACCGGGGTGGGTGGACCAGATTCCCCGATGGGTTGAAGCTTATTCCCATGCCTAACAGTTAACGAAGCTAGTGGATGGACCATAGTCATAACAAAATGATAACTACATGGATCAAATCCTTAATTTTTTGAATTTAAGATGCTATGTTCATAACTTTTGTTAAATCACAGGTACCAAATTCGTAATTCACTCTAAAATTAGTTAATTTTTGAAAAAATCTAAAAAAACTTTATGGACTTTAGTGTTTGAAATGATTAAGTTCGTGAACAAATTTTTTGGAACAAATAAGTTTTTGGACATTTCAAATATATTTTATATTTATTTAAAATAAACTTTATCAGTAATCTTTTTAAATCTTTTTTATTTTTTTAATTTGAGAAATCACATACATGATACATTTTATTTTTAATTAAAATAAATTTAATCAATAATTCTTTTTAAATCTTTTTAGTTTGGAAAATCACTGACAAAATATTTTTTATTTTTAATTAAAATAAATTTTATCAAAAATCTGTTTTTAAATGTAAGTACTTTTTTGATATATTTATTTTATTTTATAGATCCAAGTACTCTTTTGGTTGAAAAATGTTTAAGGACTTAAATATTTAAAATATGAATGTTCATTGATTTTTTTTTCTAGATTTTTTTTATTATTTTACCGCATTAACCAATTACATAGGTCATAAGAATATATCTAACAAGTTTTAGAAAGTCCAAAAAATTATTTTATATTTTGAAATGTTCAAAAACTTAATTATTTTATAAAATTGTTAAAAAACTTAATCATTTCAAACACTAAAATCAATTGGGTTTTTTTAAATTTTCGTTTAGACAATGTTATTTTGGGCTTAAATGATTTAGGCCCAATGAGTCTACTAAAGGCTAAAGCTGCCCAAAACAACAATACAAAGCAAGCCGAGCAAGCCTAGCCGGATTCATGAGCCGTTCTTTTTCATTTGGTCAGGCTGGAGGATTGATGTGGCCCACGCCTTCACCGTCTCTACTTACCTGAGTTTTATCAAAACCTCCCTGCTCTCTCTCTCTCTCTCTCTCTCTCTCTGATTCTAGATTCGTTTATTTGTTATTTGTTTTCATCACTTCAATCGTCATGTCACAGGTACAACTTGTTGATTCAACCTTCCTTTTGTTTGTTTATGGAATTTGATTTTGACCGTTTTCTCCTAATTCTCATCTCCAATTTCTCAAAGTTTTGTTTGATTTTAGTAAATGTTGATTGATTGATTCTTGAATCTTGATCTATGCTAACTGTTAGTTGATTTCTTATTCGAGTGTAGATTTGTTGATGCTTTCGATTGTGTTTTGTTTTTTGTTAGGTGAATGAGAAAGACGCCGCAGTCAAGCCTGCGACCGCCACGGGTATGTGCTTCTTTATGTTATGTTGATGTAGTTAATGGTGGTGATGGTCTAGATGGATACAAGTAATTGATTAGAGAAGATTGATTGATGAGTACGTTAGGCTGTTGAGTTAAATTACTTTTATTTTATGTCACTACTTATTTCGTTAAGCACTAATACTTGATTGACCTCACAAAATTTGCTCAATCAAGCATTATGTACTTTTAGCTGCTCCTTTGCACAAGGTTTTTTGATGAAGCCCGAGTTAAATTTATGCAAGTCCTGAATTGTGACCCAAGAACATACAAGTATAAGGGACCTTTCTTTCCCTCGTTCCTATTTTTGGGGTTTTGGTGGGGGATTGAAATGGGAAATAAACGGAGGAAATTAGATGTTCCTTTTGATACTTTGAGTGTACAAGAGGGAAAGGATCAAAGAGGCAAAATGTCCTTTCTAATCATCATTATTTATTTCAGGGATTGGATGAAAGAAGTCAAAACTATCATATACATATGTCCCCTCCACCTCCCAAAAAATAGATCTTGTGTATTACTGTTGGCTCGTTCATGTCAACACCTTCGCTACATACGAATGGAAAAGTGGTTTTCCCCCTTGTTGGCTTATAGTTCCTTTGCATTATATGAGTTGGAATATCTAACTATTGGATTTGAGCCAAGACTCAATTAAATCATGAGTTTTGTACTATGATCAAGGTTCACTAGTTTAATATGTCGTTTCCTATTCATACTTTGAGTTTGAGTTGAATACCGCATTCAAGAATTGTTTTGGATCCAATCCATAGGAATCAACAGAAAAGGAAAATCTCTTATGATACCAGTTCCGCTCGGTTATTTGTAGAGTGAATAAATCTTCCATTTCTTCAAATTTCTCCTGTGATTCAACACTGTGGTTTAACGTGTATCCTCCCCTGTTCCAGTCATGAAATAGATGAAATAAATAAAAAAACTAGATTCTTTCTTCAAATCTTGTTGGAACTGTCAATATACCGTTCATCCTTTGGAACCACATCAGATCCTGAATATGATGAAATAGGATAAATGGAAATGGCATTTTGTAAGTTTGTAATTACCTTAAATAGATTAACCATTTCTTTATTTTCTAACCCCTTGAGAAAAGAAGATGTTTCTTCTACAAATCTTGATCTCTAGTATTGAAAGTCCATGTATTTATCTTGATATATCTCAAATTGAATCTTTTATCTCAAGTAGTTTGGTTTCTTTTGTTGGTCACTGGTCCTTGCCCACATCTTTGCTAAAGATAGATGCTTTGGGTCCAAAGGTTTTTCGGTTTTAGCTTAGCTGTCTTGTTTATGTAGGATAAATTGAGATGGGATTTTGTAAGTATGTAATTATCTTTAACTAGATTAACTGTTTCTTATTTTCTAATTGCTTAAGAAAAGAAAGATGTTGTTTCTTCTACAATTTAGCTGACTTGTTTATGTAATTTAGAAAAGAATAATTATCCATACTTTCAAGTCCTTTATACGATTGTGAAGATTTTAGCTTTGGTAGTGATGCTGTAATAAGGTCGCAACAATGCAAGCTATTGTGGTGATCTAAAAATTTCTGTAACGCTGATTTCTGATGGCTATCTTTTACAATTGTCACTACATTTATCTTCTCTGATAGTGTTTTAGGACTTTTTTTAAGGGATAGCCACATATATTTGCTGATACTTTTTGTATATAGGTTTCTCGAGGAACTACAATATTTCAAATATTTTCTTGATCTTTCCTTCCATCCCTAGTTAAGGCTTTGAGTATCATGCCTTTTCTTTAGACCCAACGTCATCTTTCTTCATTGTTGGATACGTTTTTTGTTTTGTTGGGGTTTATGCTTCAGGTTGTTCATTTTGTTTGTCTTGTACTTTATTTTTGTATATTCTGATGCTTTTGTTCATAATGCATTCTATTTAGTTCAGATACACCTTTTAATTTTAAAGGTACACATAGTACAATCGACACCACATATGTGTATGTTCTACTTGTGTTTTTGTTTCCTTCCTTCTCTTCTTCATCTTCTGTCAGAGCTCAATGCTATTTCCTCTCTAAATGAACGTTTTTATATCTTTAAAAGATGTTATAATAAACATTCATGCACCTGCTTTTGTCATCTCAGTTTGAAGATCTCTTTGAGTTAAGTTATGAGGGAAAGTTCTCAATACTGCATTCATCTTTTTGAATCATAACTATCTCCATGCTTTTGTGACATCCATTGGTAAATAGTAAATACAAAATTCTATGGTTTCCTTGTGAGTGGTTTATATGCATGAGGAATGACTCATCACAATGACAGCTTCAGCTCCACACCCTTTTGGTTTCCCCGGCTTTACTTGACTTGAGTGTGTTTGCTTGTAGTCTCCTTTTTAGCAGAAATGCTCAAATTCTATCACCCACCCCCTTGGCTACAAACATGAGGCTGGATCTTTCATTGAATTCTCAGGAAAGGGACCGATTACTTTTTTGGTTAATTTTCTGTTGGGGAATTAGTGATGATGCTGTTTTGGTTGATGATAACATTCAAAAGGGTTCTTGCTCCAGGTTTATGTAGTTATTTCTATCAATATGCAAACTATCTCAGTTGACTTTAGACCATTCAATTATGTTGATATAAGTGTATGTTTATCAACTAGCAATTTGGGTAACTATGTCAGGTAGAGCAAGAATTATTCTCATATGGAAGGAATAAAAAAGAGAGAAGGAGAATTTTCTCAATATGCTGTTCACTTCATTGTTAAGTCTCCACTAGGAACGAGAATTCGATCTGCTCTAGTGAAATAAAGTGCTTCTGAATATTAGTTCCTGAATTCATTGCAACAAGAACTGTCGATTAAAAATTTCATTGATTCTCATCAAGAAGAACGATCTGATCCCACAAATTTATCTTCTCAAGCTTTGGTTGCATGTTATTGGATATTGTTAAATAATTGTACACTATGACTATAATTTGTCTGCTTTAACCTAATAGCAGAATCACTATTCATATCTAACTTGACTCTGTTATTTCATTACATTCTGATTGAATTTTTCTTCAAAAATTACCTTTTAGAACCTTAAGAGAATATGAAAATTTAGCTTGAAGTAGAATGATTTACACAATGAAACCAGAGGTAGGCTTCACTAAAAGACTTTTACTTTAGATTGCATTATTTGATTTCTTAAACAGAGGTGATAAAATTTGCTCTTGCAAAGCTTAACCAAGTATGGTTGGCTAAGAAAACAAGGCTTGGATGTCAAGATATATGGGTAGCATCGTAATCTAGGTCCCGATGCTTGATGAATGGATACACCATATTAAGTTAGCTTGATGGAGAATCATATTAATTTCTGTTCCTTGGACCAATATGAAAATGAAGCTCCAGAATTTCTGTCTTTCCAAGTGCTGTTTGAACCATTTCTTCAGCATATTTCTTCTTTTTGATTATACATCTTATAGTGCATGGACCACTCAACACATGAAGGGTGTGTGTGTGGGTGATCTGACATGCAAAGAATAGAGTCCCCTAAGTTCTTGATTATAAGAAAGATAAATTGGATTATGGCTTCTGGCTTTGCTGCTCTAGGCAGCCATTATCCTGAGAGGTATGGGTGATGAACTGTGGCTTTTTAAGGATGCCATTTCTATTATGTTTGCTATCACCTAGATTGACCACGTTGATTAGATGCATTGCTGACAGGTGTGAGTTCTTTTATCTATATTTATTAATGGTCTGTTGGCCTATTGATGCATGATGTGTTTATACACTAAAATATATTTGTTTATTTCTAGTTTCTTAATATGTGTTATTTCCAATGCAGAAGAGAAGACAGATCCAGCCATGAAGAAAACTTCCTCTGAGTCAAGCTCCACAGATACGCAGTCGGGAAGCATACCTGCTATACCTTCCATGCCTGGAGCTGGATTTGCTGCAAATCCTTTTGACTTCTCATCTATGGCTGGTCTACTTAATGTATGATTCTTCTTTCATGCCCATACATGACTAAATCAAAACTATGTGTCTATGCACACCCACTTGCATGCACATATGCATGCATATACTCTTCTGTTGTCCATTAAGCAAAGAGAAAAAAATCTACAGCAACCATCAAACTCACCACAATTCCTATATACAAGAAAATAGCAAGTAAATACACCATCTCTTTCCCTCATGATAATGCTCTCTTTCGTTATAGGAAAAATCGGTGAGTTTCACAGGAACATTGATGGTTTCCATAATCTTGTTCCTGAATCTAATAATTTTTACTGGTCTTAGTGCTGTATATTCGAAGTTTACATGATGTTCCATCTCATATTTGCAAATAGCCAAGAGTTTTGTTGTGTTCTTTTTCAAACGAAGAAACATGTATTATTGGAACCTGAGATTTAAATATCTTCATGTCTTTATGAAGAAAATTCTAACATATTCTTTTTGTTACCGCCTTAATATTATTTATGACTGAGAAGATCATTTTATATGTGATTTAGGGGCTGTTTGGTTGTTTTTTCATTAAGTCATGTATGGATGCAGATAAAGTTAGCTGTATGAGTTAAATAAAATTGTTGTTTGTCTGTTGTGCTGAATAATCTGTTTGAATGATGAAAACTACGATTTTATCTTTCTAGTCATTTTTGGTCTATTCATCTCTAAACATCAAATTAGAATTCATTAAAGAACAAACCAAATTAGAAGATCGAATCTGAAACTCTTGGAGAACACAATCATCTTTGTGAAGATTGAATCTCAACAAAAAGAAATCCATCCCTTTAGAAGAACATATAAGAAAATCCATCCCTTTAGAAGATTGAACCAGAGAACATTATTTTTGTCTTCAAGAACACCATCATCTTCAAGAATATATCAAAAGTTAGAATGTCAACAAAGAATAAACAACCCAAATGAAGAAACCTCTTTTTCGTCCGTGATAAACCTACAACTTGAAATCTAAATTCAGAAGATTTGAGAGATTCATATCTAAACCTAAACAAAAGATAGTTACGTCCAATTTTCCAGAAAATACAAACCCATCATTTTCCATTTTCCAGAAAACCCCTTCCGATTTCGATTCACCTCTCAAGACCCATCTCTTGTGATTCATCACTTCAGATTTTCCAGAAAACCCCATGGCAGAGACAGTAAGGAGGAGGAGGGGAGTATCGACAGAGATGACATAGCAAAGCAAAGGGTCTGTCGATTTTGCAAATCGATCTGGACACAGAAATGGCAAAGCAAAGGGTATGTTGACGGCGAGAAGAAGAGCTACGGAGCACCTGCATCTCCTTGTAATTTCTACATGGTCTTCGTTTTTCAGATCTGGGAATTTGAGAGAGAGGTTTGAGAGAGCTGCTATGTACCTTGATTTTCATAGGGGTATGTGGGTGGAAAATGTTGTGTCTGTGTGCACAAGGGTAACCCCAAAAAGCTGATTCGCTAAGCTCCTCCCTAAATCATTAAGCTGCTTCCAAACACTCCAAAATGGCTGCCCGAATAAGCTAAAGGGCTCATTAAGCTCATTAAGTTACTTCCAAACAGGCCCTTAGTTAACTACTATTAATGTCAGTGAAGTTGAGTTGTTTAATGAGTCGCTTTTTTTGTAAGAAAAGTTGGTACCAGTGCCAAGTTCAAGGAAGAAAAAAGAATCTACATGAAGCGTGATAGCGATGTTATACAACGTGGAGTTATTTTGTATTATAATATATTGATTTATTACATCATTCTTTTCATGCATGCCATACAAGGTTGGGATCCTTTAACAATATTGGTCCTGAATGGTATTTCACACTTTAGATGCAGAGATGATTTACAGTTTTGTTCTTTTTGGGGACGTTTACAGGACCCAAGCATCAAGGAATTAGCTGAGCAAATAGCAAAAGATCCCTCATTCAATCAGATGGCAGAGCAACTCCAGCAGACATTTCATGGTGCTGAAGGTGTTCCCCAGTTTGATACGCAACAGTATTATTCAACTATGCAGCAGGTTATGCAAAACCCTCAATTCATGAACATGGCTGAGCGCCTTGGTAGTGCTATGATGCAGGTATTAAGTTTCTTAAGCATATTATATGGGGTTGTTTATGTAATACGGTAGAATGGACTATCAAAAATGTTTTTTTCTATATCTTGTAGGATCCATCAATGTCTCAGATGCTTGAGAGCTTATCAAATCCAGCTCAAAAGGATCAGCTTGAAGAACGGATGGCACGTATCAAAGAAGATCCATCCTTGAAACCCATTTTAGAAGAGATAGAATCTGGAGGTCCAACAGCAATGATGAGGTTTTGTATCTCACATATCATGATAATATACAACTAAGTTATACTCTCTCCTGCTGAAAATAAATGCCCACAATTAAAAAGGCACACAGTTGTAGAAATGTGTGATTATTACACTTTTTAATTAACTAAATGACAACTTTACTCTTGATAATAGATGGAGTAATGAATGTCTCCATCTCATAATTAAGGGTAGAATTGGAAAGTAGGCACTTATTTTGGGACAAACTAAAATAGAAATATGGACACTTATTTTGGGACAGAGGAAGTAATAAGTTTTATTTGGTATGATAATGTGTGGGGAAAAAAATTTGAACATCCTTAATCCCAGTTGATTTATTTCAATCTTTTCCATTACTGAATCACCCGTTCCAACCAACATCTATCTTTACAAATAAATAAGTAAAATAGAGAATGACTATTTGTAAAAGAAGCACAAAAATTAACAGTCAATTAACATTTTTGGGTCTTGCAACTGACTTCATTGTAGCATGTGCAGCATTCATGTTGATTTTATTTCACACCACATTTTTACTTGACAAACTCCAGACACTGCTGTAGACGATGAAGTCTACTTATCAATGATCATGTAGTTATTATTTGTCAAGAATCACTAAAGCATGTATGTGAATGCAGAACTTCTTCGATGTTTATATTTTCATGTAACATGGACGGAAATCTGGATGTCTTGAGAACATGTTCAGGGTTTTGGTTTTACGAGGAAGACATACTTAACAATGTGATGCACAGTGTTCCAGTCGCACTTTGATAGTTTTGTAAATCATTTGCTGTTGTAATTCCATCTCTCATCAAGTTTAACATCTTATACCTATATTGTTGCAATTCTTCATCATTTTCAAGGTAGGCTTACATTCTGTAGCTCTCCTTTGGCTTTTAGTTGAGAATTGTGATTTTATTTTGTACTTTCAGAAATATTATCAACTATTTATTACTTCATGGATCTTTAATTGTTCAGTTTTTTCTTCTTGACCACAAACTAGGTACTGGAATGATCAAGATGTTTTAAAGAAACTGGGTGAAGCAATGGGACTTGCAGTCACTGAAGATGCTACCGCTTCCGCTGCAAATCCTGTTGCAGATGAAGCTGAAGAAGATGTAAATGAGGATGAGTCTATTGTTCATCAGACTGCTAGTGTTGGTGACATTGAGGTACTCGAGTTTAAGTATACTTTTTTTACTATGATTATGTGATCATCATATCATTCAATTTCAAAGCCCCTCTTTCATGTGGTCGATGTCTTGGATTGGTATATTATCTATGTTGGTTCCAAATCTACGTAGTCATAATTAAGGGGATGTTTGGAAACGGCTTAATGGGATGCGTGGCTTATTCGGTTAGCCAGGGGACAGATTTTTTTGGGTCCTGTGAGCATATGTGGAGGTCCCAAATTACTCTCCAAAAGAGCCTTTGAGGAGAGAAGGGAGGTTCCAACATTTGGTGAAGCGAAATGGTCAAAGTCTAGCCGATGTGGGACTCTTAACACGCCCCCTCCAACAGAGACTAGATGGGCACAGATTGTCCCGAGTGTCGAGAGGGGCGTAGACGTGTACGTATTGCCTCAAGAGTGTCGAATTCCTTGAGTGCTAGACCTTGGCTCTGATGCCACGTGAGAATGTGTGGAACCCCCAAATTACTCTCCAAAGAGCCCTTGTGGAGAGAAGGGAGGTTCCAACATATACCGAGAAGTGGTCTAAGTCTTGCCGATGTGGGAATCTAACAGGTACCTTTTAAGAAAAGCTGTAGAATTGGGTTACTTAGCTAAATTACCCCCTGATAAGTGCTTTCTTAAAACCATGACCTTCTGATGGGGTTTCTAGGCATTTTTGAGTGTGGAAGTTGCATTCTTTTGTTAAGTCGTGGGCATTCTCCACACTGTCAGAAGATCATGGATTTAAAAAAACGGTTAGGTCATTTAACCAAAGGATCCATGTAGATTCGTGTTGTGTTCTATGTTGTCGGGGACTTTGTGATGCTGTTCCCTTTAATTTGTTTGCCAAAGGCAATGCTCAACTCTTTAGACCATGTTTTCTCATGCTGGTTATATATCTGTTTCACTGAAGAATACATGTAATTTCTTTATGTTATATTTTCATCGGGGACAATGCTTTTGCCGATTGCCTCACGATCTAGCCTTCATGTTCTATTATTAAAAGGAGGGTTATTTGTTATTTTTGGTTCTGTAAATAACCAGGGTTTGAAAAAGGCATTGGAATCCGGTGCCAACAAAGATGAAGAAGATTCAGAGGGAAGGACAGCGTTACATTTTGCTTGTGGATATGGGGAGGTAAGATAGGATTGTATCTTGGAAGTTATTTGCTTCGTATATGTTAATATGCTCTTCATTGCTCCCCAGGTTGTTTCGATGCTTCAAAGTTTTTTCTTTAGCACCTAGAAAGCTTAAGATCCTTTTGACTCCTGATCTCAGTTTGTCTATCAATTGCAGCGTTTATTAATTTCTTTTTGTCAACAATGCGTAGAGGACATAAAATCCAAACCAAGCCAAACTAAAACGTTCCTAGTATATCCCACCTGGAGGTGGGGTCTGGGAGGGGTAATGTATATGCAGGCTTGACCTCTACTGCAAAAAGTAGAGGGGTTGCTTCTTTGAAGACCCCCGGCTTGTGAAAATCGTGTGGAAGATAGAAATTCGGAAGGATAAAAATTTGAAAAGCTAGATAGAAGTAAGCAATAAAATACAAATAGAAGATAAACATAACCAAAGTAAAGAGAAATTGCACACCCTTGATCTAACTTAGGGCTTGGATGAACGAACTAACTACTCACCAATCCCGCACTATCTACCTCTCCGGCTCCCTTTCTTGACTAAACCATTCATCAGTCGCCACCTAGTCTGCTACCCCAATCCAGCGTCTCCAAGAACTTCGATTCAGAGATCATGTTCTTAAAAAGGCCTAAGGCTAGAGGAATATATTTCTTCCATCTGCAATGTTTGACTTGACACAGTAAATTTAATATTAAATGTTTGATTATTAATTAGTGACGACGAACTTTGTCAACCCTAATTTGTGATACCAATGTTATACGGTGTTGCTAATGGACAAATATGTAAATTTGGATTAAACATTTCTTTAGAAAATCAATGTTGTATTTTATTTTAAGACGGTCTCAAAAGGAAATAGCCGTCTATTTTGGTAATTCTTTTTCATGTCTGTTTATTAGGAAAGAAATGCTTCAAATTTCCTTTTATCATGAACGTTTCTACACGAAGTAATTTCAAGTTTTTTGAAGTTCTTTGACATGCCGTTAAACTGACTAAGCGTACCTCTACAATTGTAGGTGAAATGTGCCCAAGCTCTCCTTGAGGCTGGGGCGAAGGTGGATGCGTTAGACAAAAACAAGAACACCGCTCTCCATTATGCAGCTGGTTATGGCAGGAAAGAATGTGTATCCCTTTTGCTCGATAACGGTGCAGCTGTGTAAGCCTAACCCATAACCTACATTCCTCAATGATTTTGCATTTTCTTTTATGGTGATTTTAATTTCAATCGTTTTTTTTTGCTTTCTATTTAGTACTCTGCAAAACATGGATGGGAAAACACCGATTGATGTTGCGAAACTGAACAACCAGAACGATGTACTGCAGCTGCTGGAGAAGGATGCTTTCCTATAAGCATGTTTCTATAACATCTACAGTCTAATGTTCGTGTTGGGCTTACTGATGAGTGCAACTTCGATGTTGGTTTTCTTGTATTTTGTTGTGTTTTTCTAGTGAAATTACATATTTAACCTTGTTAAAAGTTTGTGTGGGCTTAATTTGGTTAAACATATTTAGGTTTCAAATGGTGTAAGCTCAAAATGATTGGCTTCTTGAATCATATCATTATTTGCTTTATGGTTATGGCAAAAATACCTTTTTAAGAAATGAAAATATGTCGTTTTGGTTTTTGATTAACGGGTCGGGTATTCTTGCAGAGATACCTGCTTCAGAGGGTGACGTGATACCTTTTTTGCGAGAAGGGAATGAAACATTCTCCTCGTGCATCGGCTATAGAATAAGGTTAAGTGGTTTTAGTTTTCTCGAATAGGGAATAGATTATAGGTCTATCCGTTTGATTTCGGGATTTTGCATCTAATTTTTTATATATCGATTCGTGTTTTTGAGCATGTTTGGAAATCGAAAGTTGTTTCTCTAGCACGTAAAAGCTTGTTCATATAAAATGCTAGCTTTTGAACGGGAAAATACCAACAAAAAAAAACTTGATGGACTTTTGAGCATGTTTTGGAAGTCCTTCGATAATGGTTTTGAATAAATAAGTCATTAGACATTTTAAAACATTTCAAGCAAGTCCTTATTAAACATGATCTGCAACATGCTATGCAAGTAAAAGCGAAAATTAGAAAAAAAACCCAATAAACTAATTTCCTAAACCTAAATTGTCCCAGCCTAGACGTCGCCCCACCATGCCCCCTTCAATCATGTATGCCGTCGAGCACCACCATTTGCCATCGCCCCCAACTGAACCCGTTGTCTCTATCGCCACCAACCCAGCCTGTTGCCATGATCCATGTTTGATTACTGGGGTTTTGTTCCGTTAGATTACTCGGATTCAATCATTCAGGTTGCTCGATTACTCAAGTTTGGTTTGGTTCGAGTACTCAGGATTGAGTGTAACCAAGTATAAAACCTTGAATCGTTGCCGAGTATAAAAATATGGAAACCATACTGAACGCTTTTCTAGTTGAGTTTTTATGTGTTCAACAATAAATTTGTAAAATGTCGTTGAGGTTTTAAATTTACATCTATTATTATAGTTTTAATAATGTTTCAACAAAGTTAACATCGAGGATACGCAAGTGTTTCATCATTAAAGACATTTTCAAGTGAGGTTGTTGTTGAACACCAAGAAGAGTCACAAGAAAGTCAAATGGCTATATCTCAATCAGAAATAATAACACGACCTTCAGTTTAATATAAATTAGACATTACTTGGATATATTCTTGCGCAACTTTTTTTGAGCAAGTTTTGATATATTTTGGTGTATTTTGGCGTAACTTTTGGCATATTTTGACGCTACTTTTTAGTATATATTGGCCCAACGTACGTATATGTTTATAAATATAAGAATTTATTTGTCACAAGTATGTGTTTAACAGGTTTCAAAAAGCCAATGATTTATTTAATAGGTTTTAGAAACTCTGACGACTTATTCATTCAAAAAAAGTTGTCCACAGACTTATTTATTGAGGGTGCGTTTGGTATGCACTCTACATGGGATAGGACGAGACAAAAAAAATAGTCCCATGTTTGGCATGCCATGGACAAAAAAAACATGAGACAAGGTGGGACTATTTTTAATTTTAATGGGATAAATCTTGATATTTCTTGTTCCACCAAAAAAGGTGGAACAACATGGGACTAAAGTTAAAATGACAATATTTTGGTTGATTTGTTGTCATTTTACAATCATTATATGATATAAAATAACATTGAACAACATTTAGGGGTAATATGGTCATTTTAATAGTTTTGTCCCGTTCTGCCCTAGTCGTACCAAACATAGGACAAACAATTAGTCTTGTCCCGTCTCGTCCTGTCCCATCTAGTCTGCGTACCAAACACTACCTGAAAGCACAAAAGTCTATTAGGTTTATTTAGAACTTTCTCTTTTTTGAATAACTGAAGACACATCAATATACAATACCTACTTAAACGACCGAAAACAAAAGTAGACAAATGGGCCTATTAGCTCAGTTGGTTAGAGCGTCGTGCTAATAACGCGAAGGTCGCAGGTTCGAGACCTGCATGGGCCATTTATTATTTTATTCCTATTTTTGTTAGCAATTTACTATTATTCTGTTTTAAGCATTTTATATAGAAAAACGAATTGTTGTACAGAGTTCAAGAAGATATAAACCAAAGATGATCATGATTTACGGGCCGTTTACTTAAATGCTTACCCGGTAAGCTTTTACCATTACGAGTTAACATTGTAATTCATTTTACCGTGTAAGATTGTAGTACATCAAAATGATATCATATGCAACAATTTATCCGGTAAGCGCTTACCCGGGTAAGAGTCGTCACATTCACTTACTGAGTAAGACTCTTCATCTTTATTATTGCTCTTAATAGGTAAGATTTTTGACTCTTGCCATGCTCATCTGGTAAAGAAAATTACCCACTAAGCAGTTACTGGATAAACGTTTAGTAAACACATTAACTAAACAATTATACTTAGATTTAACTTTGAAAAATATATGGTTGCATATGTCACAAACCATATGCTATTCTAGAAATATCTTTATTTTCATATTCAGTTTTAAGTTAGAAGAAGAGAACGTTTCATTTGTAATCATTAGAAATGAAAAACGTTGATTTTTAGCTTTTACATGTCAGGTATAAATATTTTAAAAATATGATAAATTTTTTCCATCGCGAAAAATAATGACGTTTTCTTCAATCAGACTTTATTTAATTATGAATAATCAATTGGAATTAACAATTTTGAAGAATTTTCTTCTCTCATTATCATTAACTATTTCATTAATTAATAACATATTATAATTTTTTAATATGATATATGAACTAATATATAATATAGTATTCTTGATAAAAGAATGGCATAATAATTGGGTATAAATGATTGGTAGATGGGGGAATGCATTCTTCTACGATTCTTTTAAAATTTTCTCACACACATATATATTTATATATATATATATATATATATATATATATATATGTATATTTGTGTGTGTGAGCTTAAAAATTTGTGCGATCAGTGAGATCCATTTTAAACAACTACTTTAAGATAATTAATATGATTTATTAAATTTTAATGCACTTTTAGGAAAGTCAAACACCAAAAATAACTCTCTCCCTCTCGCTTTTACTCACTTCTCCTTTTGACGTACGTCTACAAACCCAATTGAATGTACATACAAAGTAAACAGCTTTAATAAAATTCCTTAGTGGGGTATTTATAATGTGTTTGACAAAATTCACATGGTGTTATAAAGTAGTAAGTTATTGTTATTTTAGTTGATGTTCACAAATTTATGCCAGATTTTATAGATCCAGAGTGTTGACACAAATTATAACAGTACTGATAAAAAAAAGGTTCAAAATGTGTTCACCGTAAGTGCATATTTAATTGTGTGTATGCATGAATGTTATGAGAGATGAGAGAAAATAGGAAAGAGGAGAGAGAAGATATATTTTTAATCAATTTTTATAGGATTTAAAATAAATCTTATGGATCCCACAAATTAGAAAATTCTTAACAGAAAGAACCCCCTGTGTGTATATACGTGCGTATATAACATGTACTCAAGTTTCATGAAAAAAAAAGCTAATGTGAAACCCTCAAAGAAGAGTTCAACATATGTCAGACTGTTCTTGTTTGATCTCGTATACTTCCAAGAACTTAAATTCTTATCAATGAAAGGTATACAAAACCAACACCTTTGGAATGCAAAGAATGTAAGCAATCGAAGATTGAAAGAAGAAACACAAACTCTTCCAAGAAACCCAACAACATTACGATTGAAACTCAACAACGAGGGATATATGAAATCCAACACCTTTGAGTTGCAAGGAAACACGTTGTTAAAGTTAAGGCACCACACTAAGGGGAAGAAACCTAGTGATAAGCCAAGTGAGAACTGCAAGCACTATCAGTCTTGCAACACCCAGATTCGTTCAATCAAGAGAACCGACAAGTAAATGAATAACCTCACCAGACATTGATTTGATGAAAAGATGCTTACAAATGCTTTGAAAAGCTCCTATTTATAGGGGAAAGACTAGACCCTTATTAAGTACAAGATTAAAGGCTCTTAAAAACATTATTTACACCTAAAATCTTAGGATTCCCTCATAATAACTAAATTTACTTTCAAGACTACTTTTATTTAAATAAAGGGAAAAAAACGAAAATGTAATATTGGGCCTTGAAGGACAATTCAAATATGTAAAAATTAGCCCAACAACACAAGATAGTTTATCCAATCGGGCTTGAGGTCTTGGGTGTCTTCCAAAGGGGCTGAAATGATGAGATTAGCCAAAGATTCTTGCATCCACTTTCTCCTTGCAAAAGTCATCGGTCCATGCACTCCTTTAAGTGGATCAACTTCATATGACTTTCCATCGAGCTTTCAATTTCCATCACGCTTGTATCCTTTTTATTCGATAAGGTTTTCATCATCCCCTCCCTCTTCAGGACAATTCATCTTCGAATACATACCACCTTTCTTATAACGCACAACGTATGGAAATGTCTCTATGAAAGATATCATTTGGCCTTTCAAATACTTAAGAGATTCATGATCGGTGTGGATCACAAATTCCTTAGGTGTAAGACAGTGTTGCCATGTCTCCAAAGCTCTGACAACCACGTACAACTCCTTATCATAGGTTGGATAGTTCAAGGTGGCACCGTTTAACTTCTCACTAAAATATGCAAAATGACGTTTGAAGATTTGAAAGAAGGCAAAAGAAAGAAGTTTCTAGAAGAAATCAAACATCAGATCACCTTCATCTTCAACCATGAAAATTCAACCATGATTCTTGTAATCATTTTTTATTATATCTTAACGATGTGAGTTGCTTACTTATGTCCAGTTAATTTTTGTTGTTGTCTCTTATGTATTTAATTATATTATGTTTTGTAATCCAAAGAAAATGAAAGAAAGAAAAGAAAAGGATGGAAGAAAATAAAAAGAAAAAAAATTAGAAAAAGAAAAGAACAAAAAGAATAAAATATGGATCATTGAATCTATGAGTTCGAATTTTTGGGTTTCAATACCATTTTTTTCTAAGTGTTTGTCACATGGATATCTAGAGGCACGTTCAAATGAAAACCATGCAATTCTTAGAAACCGTGTAAACTAATTTCGACCAATAAAAAAATTCAATTTTTTTCTAA